CCCCACCCACACCCACACCCACACACCCACCCACACCCACACACCCACATCCACACCCACTCACATCCACCCACACCCTCGTCCCAATAGTCGAATCAGTTCTTCCATTAAATATGAGCCTTCCAAAAGTATACCCATTTGCGTCTGATAAAAATTTAATTCTTACCTTAGAAGAGCAGATGAAAATTCAAGATAAAAACATCCAAGAAACAGAAAAAACCGGTTTCCGTTTATTCAAACAAGAGAGTATTACTGAAACAAGGTCGGTAGTTATTATATTGACTTTTACATTTAGTATTCTTCTAATAGCAATCTTTTTCCTTGCTTTTTGCTTAATATACCGATGTCAAGCAGGCTTAAAGCCTATGCAATCACCCGTCGTGAGCATCGGTACAGCCATGAGTCAGCCAGCTGTAGCTTTGCGGCAGCCATCTCGGGAGAATTTAGGTAGTTTACATGATCTATTAAAAGCATTTGCTCTAAATAAGGCCAATAAAGTCTAAAACTATCATCTTCACTTCTAACCTTTGATGTACATATGTATGTATAATGTTACAAAAATAAATTGTTTGTTTTTTTCCTTACTTTCTTATTCAAAAAATTGTATTTTTTTTCTTACTTTCTTATTCAAAAAATTGTATATTTCTTTAATGTTAATAAAAATAAAATCTAATTTTCAAAGAGTCAACTATTATGTATGATATTTACTTGCGATTTTCTACACAGTTCACATGAGCGATCTTGTATTGTAAACGGTATGATGTTTCAATATATCAATAAAAATAAACCAGCCAAAATGGTAATTTTTCACTATATATTCTATGTTATTTTCCTCAACTTCAGTTCAAAATACGATGAGCTTGACGACGATATATTCAACTATTTCATCATAGAAATGATCGAAGACCATTTTGTTTCAATAAAATACCTCTAAATCGCAAAAAAAAATAAGAAAGAGAGAGAAAAATAAGACTATATTGATTGTAAGTGTTCTTACTCTCTAATTTCGAAACATGATGAAATTATAACGTGTCGAGACATGCACAGTCATGACAATATTACACACTCAACATCTATAATTCATACACATTTTAAAATTCATCACGAGATATGTAATCATGTTAGCAAACGAATGGTTCAAGTATATAATCATAGGGTTTCTAAATATGTAAATAAATCTTTTTTTTTAATCTATTTTATTACAATACTTTTAGAGGCAACAAAACAGATGCACTGAGACCATATCTATGCTTGCACCACTAATATCTTTTCTTTATCGTGATGAAGCTACTGTTCTACCAAAACTTCCATTGTTATTGAACGGCTTTGTTTTACCTTTAAAGTTAGGAAGATATTTATGTAATAAAAATATGTGCTTTTGTGATGGAATTCAGCCTTCACGTATTCTAAATTTTGCTTCACTAACTTTGCTGAAAAATCTTTATGTATCATTTTTATTTTTCAATTGATCGTTTAAAATCATTTTCGTATTCTAATATTTTAATCTGAAGTTGATAAGATTTTTAATTTTATCATTGAATTTAACTGTTAGATTATTCAATATATACTATTTCAATTAATAATAGATATTTACAAAATATTTAATCGTAAAATTACCTTCGTTGATACTAGATATTTCTTGTTTTTATCAAATTCATTTCTGGGTCAGTTTCCTTTAAGTAATCATTAGCATGATAAAACATTTCATATATAAGCATTCTAACATTATTACCGATTGTATATTAATCAATAGAAGAGATCTGTTTAGTTTAATATAAGGCGTATTTTTTTCAAACACTTATGTTGTACTCATGTTTCCAGAAGATCAAGTTATTTCAACCGAAGATTTACAACAGGTATTGCATATATCGACGTTTTCCGATCCTCGTGTAGATTATTTAGAGTTTGTTGAGATTCGACACAGTACACTCGTTCATACTGTTATACAATCCATTAACTTATTTGCATTTTTGATAGAACAGTTGAATGTATAGAATGCAAATAAAATCTTTCGAACTATTGCAAAGTTTTGTAAGGTACAATATACGATACACGGGCACAATCAATATTTCATGAACCAGCACATGTCTGCTACACTTTCAGATAAAAACTGAACAAACATATTTCAAATTTTTACAATCATTACTTCTGTATTTACAAAAGAATACTGTGATATTAGCTTCAATATCTATCGCTATTGATTTTGAAAAATGCGCATTCAATGCATCCAGAAAAAAAATTCCGAATGCAAATATTCGTTTTTGACATGTCACGTCCCAAAAAAATCTTAAAACTTTTTGGAAAAATTAGGTAAGTTGCTATTTCAAACTTTGTAAGATAGTCATCAGATGAAGCTTGAGATTAAACGCTTATTCATGGAAATGTTGATTTCATCTCCACACTCCTCATTGGATCAAATGTCTTCTCCAAAGTAAAATTCTTTGTCATCAATTATCTGATTTAATCAACCACTTGCTAGATCCAAATATTAAGATACATTACATCATCGTTAGCATTGAAGAAGAAAATAACACTTGAGAATATTATTTATTTGTGGAAGAATTAATAATTCATTCTGAATATTGTCCTGCATTTGAACATACTCATTATGAAATAATCTTTTCAGCAAATTTAGTTAAACCTAAATCGACTTTCAATTTTATATAGGTAATAATCTTGATATGTACAGTCATCATGTTAAATCTGATTGTTTTCTTACAATGTCGGATTCTCTCTTTTACTAAACTCTCAGATGACATACATTATGAAAACGAAAAATTTAATGACATCGTTCTACCAATAATATACATAAATATATATATATTTATTTATTTATTTATGTTGATTATTTATCTAATAGTGATATTGTACAATGTATCGATCAATGCTAATCAATAACCACCACCTTATGCTCATTTCTGATCTAAAAATTTAACTTTTCTTCATTTTTTATCTTATTTTCCACAGATAAGTTTTTAAGTTTTCTCTACCTACTTAGGCAATTTTTCAAAATTTAATATCTTGTCGGCAAATAAAACTGTTAGACAATATTTCTGTACAATAGTAACAGAAATCTATCCATTATATTGACTATTTTTCAAACTCTGGTTTTCACATAAATTAAAAGGTCTAATCTATCGCTATTTCTTAGACCTGATAATGTGAATCAAACTTAAAGTTTTTCTACATATTACTCATGATATTTGGATGGCTATCTGTTTCGCGAATTAAAAAATAAAACTTGCATCTTTAATTTTTGCGAGATATAATAAAAAAATTTCTTCAAGGTTATCTCACATAATAATTCGTTTTCCAAAATCTCTCAAACCAAGTTTTTGTAATATTTTATTAACATTAATGACTTTTTTCTAATTTCATATCGGCTACAAAGAAATCATATCATTTCATTCATGCTAATAGATATTTATTATCTGAAAATAATATTGTTGCTGATTCCTTTATTAAAGCCTTCATACATGATATTTTATCATGGCTTATTCAGCACAAATGCTCATCTTTCGCTGTTGATATTAGCTTTCAATAATATAATTTCTGACCTGATCTCATTTTTATCATCCTTTGTCAGTATAGGACGTATACATTATACCAAATGCCACATATAATATCTATATTGATATTGTAGAAGTAACAAATATATTAATATTAAATACACAAAATTCATTCACATTAGCAATGGACTTCAATGGCTATTCCAAGCATTAACAGTTTAGATTATTTGATTTCTTCAAAAAAGACCAAAATAATTCTCGTATTTGATGTGTTAACTTTCAGTTTAATAGCAAATCAGAAAATTCATATTTTCAAATACTTCGAAAGTCGATGTTTATTACAATAGTCAACCACTTGATTTATCGAATTTTCACCTTAATAACAATCAATTCACAATCAAAATAAATAATCTAATTACGTCTTCTTATGCAGTTGAGTATGAAATTAACATTTCGAGCAAAATTAGCCATCTTTTAAATTCTCTTGTAATATTTAAAACGAGTTTCCCACCAAACTGCACAATAAAAAGGTTTAACCTTTTAGGAAATAATCCAAATAACTATATTAAGCTATCAGAAAAAGAAATACAAATATTTATACCAATCATTGAAAATGAGAATAAAATCCGGTAACAGCTGTCTAGA